TACAGAGAGAGATGCGCTTAGCGTCATTCCACGTATCTTTGATCCGCTTGGACTTTTGGGCCCAATTACCACAAACGCAAAAATCTTCCTTCAGAGACTCTGGACCATCAAGTTAACGTGGGACTATGTACTTCCTCCAGATTTAGCCAAAGAATGGGAATTGTTTGTCCACAATCTTCCAGCCATACAAGAGTTACATGTGAAACGCAAAGTGACAGACAATGCATCAGGAATGGAACTACATGTTTATGCCGATGCCAGTGTACTTGCTTACGGAGCAGCAATTTACGTACAAACTCGAAATGTAGACGGCCATCTTACATCAGAACTATTGTGTTCTAAGTCAAGAGTTGCTCCTATAAAACAACTCACTATTCCACGTCTTGAACTGTTATCTTCTCTATTGGCATGCAGGCTACTGGACAAAGTACGGAACTCTCTGAATGTCCCCAACGAGCAGTGCTATATATATTCAGACTCAAAAATAGTTCTCGCATGGATAAAAACTGACTGTTTAAAGTTAAAACAATATGTCGCCAATCGAGTGAAAGAAATCCAACAACTATCACAGAATTGTGTTTGGAACTATGTTCCGTTGATATCCAATCCAGCGGATATATTATCACGTGGTTGTGAAGCAAAGGAACTTTTACATCACTCATTATGGTGGCAGGGTTCCAACACCATAAATCAAAGGAAGAACTCAGAGTCTGAAAGTGAACTATTTTCCGAAAGGGACTCAAAGATGTATCAATCTGAACTCAATCAATCGCAAGACATTAATCTATTAATTTCTCATTTCAGTTTTTCAAACCCAATATTTTCTATAACAAATTCTTATTCCAAATTGATTAATGTAATGTCCTATGTATACAGGTTTATTTACAACTGTAAGAATCAAATTAAGAGAAGTGGAAATCTTACATCCTGTGAGCTAAGTGAAGCAGAATTAAAGTTATGTTCATTTGTGCAGCAGGAATCTTTAGCAGAAGAATTTAAATTATTGAAATCAGGTAAACCAGTGCATGTTACAAGCAAACTGAAATTTTTGTTTCAATTTTTTGATAATTCAGCAAATGTTATAAGAGTTGGAGGGCGTCTAACAAATTCTAATTTGCCCTATGAAAGCAAACATCCCATAGTTTTGCCTAAAAATCATAAAATTTCTGAGCTTATTTTATTAAATCTACATAAGTCAAATTGTCACATAGGTGCACAAGCACTATTAAATTTGTCAAGACTAACAGTTTGGATAATACATGGTAGGAATTTGGCTCGGAAAATTGTTCATGATTGTGTCATTTGCACTAAATTTAAACCTAGATTTTTAGTTCAAAAAATGGGAGATTTGCCTAGTGTTCGATGTAAACCAACTTTTCCTTTCTTAAATTCTGGTACTGATTTCGCAGGATCTTTTTTCATAAAAAAAAAAAATCAACGTAAAGGTCCATTGAAAAAAATATTTATTGCTATTTTTGTATGTCTTGTAACTAAAGCTATTCACATTGAAATTGTTTCTAATCTAACATCTGACTCTTTTATTGCAACCCTAAAAATACTCATTGCTCGTAGAGGCAAATATTCCATTTTTCCAGTACCAGTTGAAGCTTGATTAAGTCATATCATTGTATGTCAATTTTATATCTGTATATTTATTTTTTGTTTTCTGTTTTATAAGAAAAGTGATGTCATTTCCCTATTATTTGTTTTGCATATTACTTATATTTGATATTATTTTCATTGCTAATATATTTGAAATACAGTGCTCTATTTCAACGCGGGAAGTATGTTGTATTTTTACTCCAGCGCCATCTACAGTACCGTTTTGTAACCAGTCAGAGTAGCAATAAACAAGCTGTCATAAGGTTGTAATGGTGCTCTCTCTCTTGTCGTATTCCAATGCCAGCATTTACCAGATTTAGAAAAATTACTAAATTTAGGTCTTACCAGCGATATTACAGTCCACACTAATTAGAAGGGAAAATTCATGGATAAATTACCCCCCTTTTGTTACCCCGCATCAACAACAAATATAATTGATATTTTTGAAATCAGCATCAAAAATTCTATAAGTGTACAAATTTTCATCAAAATCTGAGATGGTGGGCTGGGATGGTGGGATCCATGGCTGGATGAACTGACAAGTATACTTAAAATTGTATCTTCTGCTTAAAATTTCATATGTAATTTCTGCAGCTATAAAATTAAAAGTCCATTTAATTTTTAGTCTTATTTTGACTTTGTAAAATTTTTTTCTTCCTAAATTGTAGATATTCCGGTTTTAAAATCTGGCAGTTTTTGAAATCAAATGTTCTCAGAACCAATGTGAACTTAATATGCAGCGAGCACTGTATTTCAAAATTTTCTTCTATCTTCAAGCCCAGTGGCAGAATCGTGGCGACACGGCGACATTGTCGCAGAACGTTACAGAGTTCTTGGAGAAAAATTTTTCCTTTACAAAGTAAAAAAATTTGGTTTTCTTTTCTGCAAAAATTTTCGAAATTTTTTTTCTCTCTAAAATTATATTTAAAAGATGTCTTTTTCAAGCATCGAAGGGGAAAGAAATGTTCTTAATTTTTCGATTCTTATTTGAGAAGAATGAAAAATAAAGAATATTGAAGTAAAAAATTTCTTTTCTGCGGAAATGTTAGAAAGATTTTTTTCCCACCACAATTATACTCAAGAGATACCTTATTCACTCATCAAAGGGGACGAAATGCTCGTGATTTTTTTAAATTTCCTTTTGGGAAAAATAAAAAATTTTGGTTTTCTTTTCTTTCACTGATTTTATGATTTTTAATTATTATTTTTCTATGTGATGATGATTTAGGAAATGCGAAAAAAGAAATAATTAGTGTGTTTTCCTCTTACAAAATGTGAGAATATCGCCCATGATATTAGAATAAAAAAATATTACAAATTCATTATTTAAAAAAAAATACATAAAATTTTCTTATATCCAAATAGGCTTTTCTTTGTAAATACAACGTTTCTGTTACTTTAAATTTAATTAATAACATGTATATCAGTTATTATTAAAAGTATCTTGCAGAAAAATATTATTAGTGCTGGAGAAGATTGTCGCAGAAAGCCCAAAAAAATTCTGCCACAGGGTCTTCAAGTTAGAGTTATTAAGATTTGACTGTATAAATTATTCAGTATCAATCAGTATTATTACTTACACCAGGGATTTCCAAACTACAGCCCGCTGTGGAATATAATCTAACTTCTTGTTGTTATTGTTGCTGTATTAAGTTGGATAAAAAAAAAAACACAGATCTTGCTTGGTAAAGCTTAATGACAAGTGTCCCCTTGTTAAAAATACTAATGAGATTTATGTAACTGTGATTTTTACTGACAATAGTTTGTAGCTGTAGACTAATTTTACTTGTACTAATTATTAAAGTAATTTATGATGCTTGTTTTTTAGATTCTCTAAATATTCTTTGTGTGGATCCAGATGGGGATTTGAGTCACTGTGTGGCCTCTTCACACAATTCAAAATATAACAAGCAATCCCTTCGTAAAATTTAAATTCTAAAAAAATGTCCCCTTCACAAAATTCTGATTTGTAAAAACGTTGTCTTCACGAAATTCAAATTCGTAAAAATGGCTCCTTCACAAAATTTCACTTTAATGATCCCAAAAAATTCTTCTGTGAATGATTCTTTTAAAAAAGGGCATCAAAATTATATTTCAAAATTTGTGTGATGTAATAGGATATTAAAAACATTGGAGTTAAAACCAGGTAGGTAAACAGAGCTGAAAATAATAAATAACTGTCGAAAAAACTACCACCAAAGGATGTGAAAGGAAATTATAATCGTCACAAGTAGAATACGTCAAAAAGTGATAGCTCAAATTCATATGTCGTAACCACATTTATATCAGAATAAATTTGTAAAGTCATAGAGAAGCGGCCGAAAAAATAAAAGAAACACACATGGGTATTTACGAAAACGGCAATACGAAATGGTGTATGCTAAAAGTGAATGAGTTTCTAACTTTAAGAAATTTTTAAAAGTAATTTTTCATAAAAAAATAGCATTCATTTTTCAAACGAATATTTTTTTCCATACTAAAATTGACCCTAAAAAGTAAAAATTAGATCAACCTCTGATTTTATTTTGTAGAATGTTTTCTCACACAAATAGCATCACAAATAATAGTAACAGCCAACTGGAAAATTATCAAATTCTATCAGTGTATGAATTTTGATATTTGTTTACTTTCTCTTAATTATATCATTGCACTGTTAATCAATGATATCTATTTGAAGTTCGGGGGCTAATGTTTCAATGTTGTTGTTGACGTATGCCTGTTTAGGCAGAAGGGTGCAATTGTTCTTGTTTTCCAATGGCGCCATCTATGGCCAAGAATTCAACTTCTGCCACACCCGTTTATGGGGTGGACCCATTCATACATCCATAGATCATAATTTTTACCTGAATCAGAGAACGATCAATCTCTAATCCAGTACCCTCAGAGGTATTGATTTGTTATGGAGGACTTTGCGACTTGACAGATTTAATGTGCATCAGTCACTATTTACTAAATGGGGAGTCTTCGGACGGCTGGGTTCGAGCCCACTAACTCTCGGACATGGGACCAGTGCCCTACCCACCAGGCTGAAGTTTCAAGGTCAATTTCAAAAGAATTTAGATAAATCTTAATTTTGTTCACAATAGTATCTAAGTCTGAGAAACGAGCATCAAAATTAACTTAAAATTCCCTAAAGCTTCGAGTGTCGAAAACGCTGGGAAATTCTCAGTAGTGTGTCTGAATATTTCACAAGTTTTAAACATTTTTTATGTTGTTGTGATTGGAACAGTATTATTTTCTGTTGTTTTTTATGTTGTTCTGGTCTCTCTTGTTACCATAGCAGCAGACAGCCTAAGACTTATGGTCTGAAGAAGTTCTCTTCAAAGTTGAAGAGTAGTTTAACTGTTGAAAATATATTTGAAAAAAATCATTCATTTTGTTTGTGGTTTCCATTTTAGGCACAAGGCCATTCGTTAAATCATAAAGTTTATGAAGATGCTGAAAACATTATTTCAGTTACCATACAAAGTATGTTGATTTTTGTAGTTCATTTTTAAAAAAAAAAAAATTTATAATTTGTTTATTTTTGCATTATTTGTATTTCATTATTATGGACTCTCAAGGGATGATATGACTTAAACACACTAATCAAAATTAGTATTAGACTATATATTGAGTGAAAAAATAATTGTTTTAAAGAAAGACCCTTTGTGTGGATTATTAAGTATATTTTATCAATTTTTGAAAATGAAAATATAAGGATCTGTTCAAATATTATGTAAACATGTTTTGCAATTTTGAACTATTTCCAATTTGTCTGTAAAAATAAGAAAATTAAAAAACCTTTTCTCATACCCGTGTAAGAAAGTCACAAAACCTCCTCCCTTGTTTTTTGTTTTGACTTATGTAGTTATTTATAATGTATATATATTCATTCCATTTTAGGTGAAAGATTGCAGAAAATAAATGTAGTCATTGACCATTTGAAAGAAGTCTCTGAGAAATTTCGTAAATTAAAGCAATTGTTAAGATCTTGCGATCAAACTGATAGCTTGAAATCTCATGTTCAGTATCATAGGTAAATAAAACATTTTATCCAATTTGCCTTTTCATGATATTTCTTCAGTAATGTTATTTTATATAGTCATACTGATCATAATGTCTTTATTTATTTATTTTGTACTCAAATTAGTCTATTCACTTTTATCTTTTAACACACTCTAATTAATACATAACTACTGAAAGTTTACTGTGTGTATTCCTATAACAGTAAGTTTCCTAAATCCAAATTTATTTTAATAAAAGGGGGGGGGGGAATTATGTATTAAATAAATGGTGGCTAAATCAGAGGTCACAAAATGTCTCAAAATAGGAATTCTGTGAAGAGTTTATTTTTAAAACCTGAACTATTATAAAGAGTCCCTTTTTGAGATAAAATATTTAATAAAGGTTTTATTTTCACAAGAAAATAATCTGTAAAGGACCTGTTTTCCCAAAACTAATGTGTTAAGAGTCTGTTTCGTTTCTCCAACATTTCTGCGACCCCTTGTTATATATAACCTTTTTAAATTCATATGTCATCTTTTTTTAAAAAAGAAAACTAACTGTAATTCGGAGAGAACAGCTAATTACAGATTTGAAATGAGTGATGCATAAGTATCTAAGATCTGTTAAAAAATCTCAAGCAAAAAAAAAAAAAACAAATTTACCCTGTGTAATTTATTTAGATCTTTATATTATTGTTTGTTTTGTGCTGATTTATGTCTCTACTTTTCAGGCATATATTAAATTTTTTTGGCTTTGCTAATAACATTATGAAAGATGTAGCGAAGGATTTAGTTGCTTTAGAAGACTCTTGCCCTGCAAGTCATAGAGATTTGGCATATGTAAGTTACATATTTTATGTTTTAATTTCATTTGTAGATCGTTAACTTGAAAATTGACTTTAAAAATAAATTTTTATGGTAGACTAGGACTTTCTAGGAGTTAAAAGAAATTATTTTTATTTGGGTGCTTTCAAATGAGAGGCCCTTTTTTTCAGAAGGGTCACTCTCACAGCAGGTTGACTAATAAAGGGCCAAAGTGTTAGACATGTTGACAGAAATTAATTATAATAATTTTATGAAAAAATTTGAAAATACTGAAGTGCTATTATACAAGTTAAAAATATAGAGAAAACATGAAAAATATAAAAAATTAATAAAAAGAGAGGAAGAAAAATTATTAAAATAAAATATATTAAAAAGCAAAATGAAAAAATATAATCTCTTCATCAGCTCACATGATTATATCTGCAAAAAGGAGTGATTCTAATATTATATCAATATAGCAACATATATCAATACAATAGTGTGAGGAGCACTAAAAGAAACAAACAAAATAGAACACATTAAGTAAAAATATATCACATAAAGAGAAAACAGAGCAAAACACAAATCGAAATCTTTAAAAAGAGTAGCGAATTCAAATGAACTTACAGGTATGGGAATCTTTCAAGAATGATTTAAAATACTAGTGGGCTGTGCCCCCTGCTCGCTTACGCTCGCCAACCCCCAAAAATTGCTACGCAATCTTATATGGTTTGCTTCGCAAACCAAGTTCACTTCGCTCGCTACTAACTTAGGTACATTGCAAATGCACAAAATTCTAAGAATTCAAAACAATCATTCAAATCCATATAACAACTTTTTTTTAAAAAAAAAATTACATCTTTTTAGTAAATACTAAGTCATTAAAATAAATTTGAATTCAAATAAATGACATGTAATTCGTTAAACCTATTAGAAATGTGCTATAGTATAAATCTTAAGATAATCTTAAGATAAAATTTCTAAAACTGATTTATTTTTAAAAAGGTTAAACTTTTGGCTATAACTAAGTCTATTAAAAATTGAAATAAGTGAATTGCAATGGAAAAGCCTGCATAAACAAAACATTGAATTTCGGAACAAATCTCATTTGGTGAGAATTCTCTCCCTTGTCAAAAAATACAAAATAAACTGACCTCAAATAAAACTCCAAGGACTTTGAATCAAATAATTAAAGAAAATACTATCACGTTTAATATAAAAGGAAGATTTATTAATTAAAGAATAAAATTACAGCATCGCAATTCCAAAAAATAAATCTCACACTCACTCAAAAAAAAAAAAAAAAAAAAACAATTTACATTCTAATTAGTCACCATAGCAATCACAAAACTCTTCTCGTTACCATCTATAAACTGATATATAATAAATAAATTATTTAACAAAAAATACGATGCGCATAAGCACATAATATTTTACACTCTGGTTATTTCAGTTTCCGTTTTTAGAAGCGCTATATGTTGAGCCACCTAATCTAGATTTGGCATGTGACATTTTTAGCGGCAATTATTGGTTGATTTTCTAGCGTTGCCATTCGGAGAGTTGTAATGAGGCTTTTTTTTATCGCCGTGTAAGAGAAATATATATATAGATTTTCGTAATAAGATTGCCAGATTACAAAATATGAAAACAGAAGCACAAATGGAGCTAAAAATATAAAAAGAGAGATTTTGTTTTATGGCGCATACTCTTTGTTGCGCCTTCATTCTTGAAAGTTCCCGTACATGTAAGTTCGTTTGAATTCGCTACTCGTTTTCTAAGTTTCAATTTGTGTTTTATTCCATTTTTTCTTTACATTTTATTTTCTGTTTTTTATGTGATATATTTTTTACTTAATGTCTTCTATTTTGTTTCAGTTTTTTTTAAAGTGGTCCTCAGACTATTGTAATGATATATTTTCCTTTGTCTATATTGATACATTATTTGAAAGCATTCCTTTTTGTGGACATAATCGTATGAGCTGATGAAGAGAATATCTTTTTTATTTGTTTTCTGATTTTTTAATATAAATTTTTCTTCTCTTTTCATTAATCTTTAAAATATAGAAAAAACATGGAAAATATTAAACTCATTTTATGAGTTTTATATGTTTGCAGCTTATGTGCAGTGAATAAAACTTATTAATTTTCTATGTTTTTCTCTTTTTGTCATAATACAACAGTTTGTTTTAAAATCGATTAGTAGTAATTAATTTTTATAGAGTGAAAGTAAGAAAATTAAAACATAAGTAATAAATATTTTATTGAGTAATATAAATACAAATTAAATATTATGATTAACGAAATTTTATGGGCTTTAAAATGATTTAAAATTGAGAAAACCTATTATAGCTCACAATAAGATTAAACATTTAGTTGGGAATATATTTTTAAATTTAAAACATTTATAATCAGTGAATTACAAGACGTTTTATGAATGTTAAATCTTAAACAGATTTATTAATGGTTACAAGACAACAGAACTAGTATAGCATTTTTGAATAGTCGAGGGGCCTCAGGTTGTGCAACTTTAGCCAAATGCTATAGTTGGATTTTTACTTGCTGTTCTGTATTATTTATAAAGTGTGTCCAGGTTATCCTGGATTTACAGTGCATTATTAGTGAGGCAGGCCATAGAGTATTTGGCAACCATAAAGACAATTGTAAATTATGCAGCTATTGGGCTCTATGCATGTGTTCTCTAAATTATGTTCATATTAACCAATAATATGATTAATATTGACTTTTAAAGCATTTTCTATCTTTTGTTTTGTCTAAAATAAATAAATGTACTGCTGTTTAATAATTCTTGTTTGAACATTTTTATTTTATACAATCATATGTTTATGTTTGAGGCCTTCTTAAGCAAATTTTTAGAACCTTTATTTTTTATTTTGCATAAATTTCTTTCTCATTGTACGCAATTTCACTTTCAGTCTGAGTTTTCTAAAAAAGTCTTTTTGTTGACGTCAGAAATCCATAAAAGCATGGACAGGCTGAAGGAGTTTGAAGGTTATGTACGATCTCCAGAAATAAATAACATAGCTGATTGTTTCTAAATTGCTAGCAATTTATATTATAACAATTAATGATTGTAAATATATTTCAAATCAATAAATTATATTTTGTAAAGTTTCCTTTAATTTATTTATTTTGTAATATAGATTAATGTTTTTTTTTTTTTTTTTTTTTTAAAAATTGTAATTCAAAAAACGAAAAGTTTTTTTCAAAATTGTATACTGCAGAGCAATTCACATGGTATTTTTTACTGTTTAATAGTGAGTAGTTTTTGAACTTAAATCCCATAGTACATTTTTCTTCATAATTTCATGATTCTTAGCTTTATAATTTTAGAGCAACACAACAAAATGCAAAACAAGCAAACATGTGGAAATTTTTCAAAAACTGCAAATTTCTTTTTAAGTTCATAAATAAAAATTGCTTTTTTAGCAGTCAAATTTCAACTCTGTAGTTGCATTCTGTAGCCTGCAGACCCATCATGGCTCAAGATAGTAATTGAGAGTGATTTTTATCTATTACTACTGTACTTTAATATAACTCTTAGTTTAAGAAATGAGGAAAACTGAATATGTGCAAGACGCCAAGCCTTATGTAAGATTTTGCATATTTTGATCAAAATTCTTAATAAATAGATGAAGAGTACCATATATTTCTGAATATAGGCCTAACATTTTTAGAAAAGTTTCAAAAGCTTTAGTTGGGGTTGGCTTATAATCGAATATGTTAACTTTGAAAAATTCTATGCAAACATTGCTGACAAAAGTACTTTTCTTTTTGTTGAGCATAAGTGTGATAGATTGATATCATGAAATAACACATACAAGTATGTTAACAGTTGAAAATATATGTAAAAAAATAACAATTGAAAAGGAAAACTCATAGAATTGACAACAGAAAAGTAATATTTTATAATAAAATTTCATTTCACCTTTTTCTCGTAAAACAGAAAACCTTCAGATAACTTTCACTGTCTGATTTACTTTGGCTGGTGACATCAATCCGAAAACAAGGAAATAATCGATGGGACTTTTAAAAAATATACTAAGATAATTGGATAGTCCAAAAGGGAAGTTTCCAATAAAAATAGTCTTTGATTTTTGTTATGTCTGCTGTTTTGAATTTTGAGTAAATTGTAAAAAAAAAAAAAAAAAAAAAAAAAAAAAAAAAAAAAAAAAAAAATCAGCTTACACAGGGATTAAAATGATTCCAGTGAGCATACACAGAAAGACTATCAACAGATGGAAATAAATTATTTATTACAAAAGTTAATCTTATTTATGTACATTAAAGCATGCAAAATATTTTATATTCCACTATACAAATTTATATATAGTATTTTACATTTTATACAAAGCATATTAATAAAATTGTGAAATAGTAACAATTTTTAAATTTTAGAACATTTATAAAATTATTTTATTTGAGCAATTGAACATGATAGTGACTTTCATATTAATAAATTATATAAATAATAAAATAATTGCATATTTTATCTTAAAGAAAGGTACAAATTATTTTGACAGGACATTAAATATAACCACTTTCTTTTCATACTTCAGGGATCATTACAAATAGAATGATTTCAAACAATTCACATTACACAAGTTCCATATTAATTTGTTAAAATTAATTGCCATTTATTTTGGTTTTATTGTATTCAAGAAACCAGGCTAGGTCATTTTCTCCACAAAAATTAACAAAATGATGTACAGTATGAAGTAATTGCACTTTATTTCAATATACACAAAATTCATTAAAGATTAACCAGGTTTTTTTTTTAATTGTAAACAAAAACTCAGCAGATTGGGATTTTTTTTCTAAACTATTCATAGCTTAACACTTTTCCGATAGAGTGAATTGCGTCTGAATATAAGGTAGCCACTGCTAACTTTTTAATAATTGCAACTAACTGTTACTGATCGAGGAGATCTTCCTGGTTGGTTGACAAAGGTGGTGGTCTTAATTATGTCATAAATAGCACATAAAATATCACTTTGAAGTAATTTTAAGATTAAATAAAATGTAATATTATGTAGATTAAAAGTGTTGGATGAGCTCAGGTACAAATAAGATACTTCAAATGAAGAACTAAATGCACTTTAGTTTAGATAATTATCATTGAAATTGAATTAAACTTAGAGGCCAAACATTAAAATGAGAGTGGGAAAGAAAAAACATTGCAATTTTTCTTAGAATTTTCATTGTAATTATCTGGGCTCGAAACATTTAAAATATTTTGCGTGCCCGACAGGACATGTTAATATTTACTTAATGCTCTAGCTCTGATCATATAATTAGACTACAAAATTTGTTTGATGATTTATAAAATAAATTAACTTGAGACAGAAATGAGCAGAATAATTATAAAAAAAAAATCATTAACATTGGAGTATTGGTTAGACATGTTCAAAATAGATAGTAACAAACCAAATTCAGGATGTGGAGCTGGAGGGCTCTGGAGCAGTGTGTTCCCCAGAGCTCTAAATTTTTTCATGCTCCAGCAATTTCATTGTATCTTATTGAGTCCTTTCGTATTGTAAAGGCATTGTCTGTTAGCCAAGTTGCAGTAGAAAGACTACTCTTGACATTAAAATACATTTACAAGGATTCAAAATCAAATATAAAGGAAGATTTATTAGATTCAATTCCTTTCTTAGCTTAACTGTGAATTTTCCATGTAAGCTGATGATTATTTTATTGTTTTTTAAATTTTTCTTTTACATAATAAAAAAAATGAAATGAATTTTTCTTTTCATTTAAAATTAAAATCTGAAAATCAAAAGCGCAATTAAATATATATTTAAAATAGCCAGAGCCTTAAATAAAATTTTTCAGCTCTGGGTCCCTGGACCAGACAGCTTAGAAAAAAACTGATTCTATAATTTATCGGCAGATAAATATAAACTATAAACATTCTGAGATTAATTGCAGAATAAAATGGATCCCGCAGATAAGGAAAAATGTCATATTAAATTAAACATTTTGCAAACATAGTCATTTTCATAAAGCTATAAAAAGTTTAAAATGTTTTTTTCTTTAAAAATACAACTCATTAAATATAAAAATTGGCACACAATAATTTCCATAGTAATTATTTACAACTCATTTAATAAGGGGCTTAATATTTGATGTGATCAAAATGTAATAAAATTTAATTTTCTGAGACTTGAACTAAAATATTTTTGAAAATTGGAGAGATATCACAGTAACATAAATAATTTAACTACCTGAATTGTTTTCAATTTGAAGCACTTATTAGACAAGAGCTCTGATACTCTTGCATGCTAATGAATAACACTTAAGCATTATAAAGTCTTTCAATGATGATCTTTTCGCATTCGGCTCAGAAAACTTTTCTTTAAAGTCTTATCACCACCACCAGCCTATTTGAAATAAAAAATTCTTTTATTTAGAATCAATATGGTAAAGAATACGTATTAAGAATAAAAATATATACAGTAGAGTCCCGATTATCCGAGTTTTCACTTTAACCGAGCTATCAAATATTTCAAGGATTTTTTTGTTCTAGTTTATTTTTAATTTTAACAACTACCTCCGAAAAAATGTGAATTTTATCTTCTAAATACTCAGGAAAATGAAATCCAACAACTTGATCCGATGAAATGATGGTTAACATCGTCAGTAATGAAAATGAATTTAGCGAAGATGATGAAAATCAACAAATAAAAATCTCTCATACAGATGGACTAAAAGCTATCGAAAGAGCTGAAAGTGAATATATCAAAAAACAAGAGGCGACACCAGCCTTCCTCTTATCCCTAAAAAAATGGCTAAGCATTGCTGCAGAAAAACGCTAAAGTAATGTAAAAAAATAAAAAAACGATTTAGAACTTTTTTTTAAGTAAAAACTCTTTCATTCTCAAAAAGTATGCTTTTTAATTATAACATCAATTGTATGTGGTGTATTCGTATAAATTTTGTATTTGTTAAATATATTACATTTATACCTACTCTTTTTCTTTCATTTTTTATATGCTTCGCGTTAACCGAGTTTTTCGGTTATCCGAGTAAGTCATGGTTCACATTAACTCGGATAATCGGGACTCTACTGTGCTGAGTTACACAGCATTTTCAGCAATCACTACCTTTAATGTATCATTCACTCATGAAGATTTTTTTAATTGAGTAATGAAATGTCATAACTTCAATTTAATTGACAGTTTCAAGTAATAAATCAATGATGTTTTAAGAGTACTTACAAGATGTTGAGGTCCCAACAGTATCATAGCTTTTTCATCTTCTTGTGGTTGGTTGTCAGTTTCTGGAATGTTCCTAGACTTCAGAAGTTTTTGTTTGATGGCCTGTCAGGAAAACAATTAATTGATAAGACTAATTTGTAACTAGAAAGTTACACTTATTTCTCAAAACATAAAAAAAAAAATCCTTTCTTAAGTCACGGTAGCTCAGAAAGTGAGTATTTGTTAAAATTTACATCTAATTTACAGTTTTATGAGGATATTTGCCTTCTATAGACCAACTCACGATAGAGATTTTTCAACAAAAAAAAATTGTATTAGGTTGAAAACACACAGACCAAATTACATATATTTTTACCTACAGGCTCAAAAATTTAAATAAGATAAAATTGGCTTTTTAACTTCCAAATTGAGCAAAAGTAAAACAGGTAGTACAACAACATATTGGTAAAATATATTTGATACTTTTTTAGTGTATAAACTCAAAAGTATTGAAAAAAAAAACTGTAATAACTAGAAAAGGAAACTAAAAAAAATTAACTTTTAATGTATGGTTGGTCAAAAAATCATGTCCTTCAAATGTAATTTTTTAATAAATAATAAGAAATATTTTTTTTGTTAAATTAATAATAATAGCAATAATATATATATATATATATATATATATATATATACTAGCTGAATATCAATTTTTCATACAAAGTGTACAAAAAAGTATCAATTAATCAGTACTGTCCAGCAATTCAAAATCATGCACGAAACTGCACGACAAATAATTACGCAAATAATAAAGCCGAAATTATTCTAACATTATAATTAGATGCTTTTCTCGATGGCTTTAAGTTATTAGTTTAAGGAAAACACATGTTTAGTAATTCATCCCATCAAAATAAAGATTAACTGTATTCCGTATTATCTGACATAATGCTGTTGCTCAAGGTTACCATAATTAAGCTAATTTCTGCTGAAGCATATATCTTCGAGGGACTGTAATTTTTTTTAAATGTACAGTATTGCTGCAGCTGTAATACACATCAAATTTACTCATAAAATACTTCGTACCTATATTAGAGTATTTTTTATACCTATGAAAACTGTATCCATCAAAACTCCACCATGCTGCCCTAGTATGTTTCTCCATAATGAATAAGTATATTTTCTCCATAAATTTTGTTTTTTAAGTTCATAGCTTGTTTTTGCTTCAATTAGTACCTATTACCAAAATTAATTAAATATTGTTGACATCAATAATAGTTTGCTGATTTTTTTACACTCTATAAATGAATTAATAACATTTCCTCAATAATTTTGTCTTTTCGTATATAGCTTTTTACTTTATTTCATACTTCAATTAGTAAATTTTACCAAAACTAAACTAATTAACATTGGCTTTTTTTTAGTTATTCTTCTCGAATTAATTCCCTTTCGGTATACAGACATGTACACTCAAATTCTTTATTTTATTATATGCAAAACAGTAAAACAAATGAATAAACTTAACACAACTTATAAAAAAGGTAACTTATTTTATTTCATATTGAACATTTTCTTTTTTACTAGCATTAATTTCAATTCATACAGCTTACTCTTTTTTTACTTTAAAATAATATTTTATTTGAAAAATTAAAACTCAAATTTTGAAAATGATAAATAATTTTGAACGTACAATAATTTTCAAAAAATGTATAATTACAATGACAACACTTTGAAATCTAATTGATGTCATTTTAGTATCAATCAATAAATGGTAATCATTAAAATGAAAAGAATAAAACTGAAAATAATATAATAGAATTTAAAGTAAATAATAGTATAATCTGTAACATACTTGAGATAAAAGAATCTTTTTGGCATCGTTTTTCAAAGCCATCAACAAATCCAGCCAAGTCCATGTTTTATTGTGATATTCAATGGTTGATAACAACAAACTAAGCTCATGCACATCTTCGATGTTTTTATCCTTTTTTCCTTTGTAACTCACACGCAGAGGGACTTCGGGTATTTTTATGGAGAAAAATGTGTGGTTTTTATCAGCCCTTTCCTGGAAAAGAAAAATACATCAATGAAATATATTTATAAATCTAATGTGTTTCTAACCACAAGCCTTAGTTTCCTTCAAAGCTCTTCCACCTAGGAAATAAAAAAACTATAGTTTAAGTACCTTACACTTGTTGTAGAATATTTAACTATATAATATTTAACAGTAGAATACTTAACTGGGCTATAATATTTAACCGTATACGCCATCTTACAGTAGAAAAATAAATAGGCTTTATAATGGACAAATAAATTCAATGCTTTGGAAGTTATTTAATTTTTTTAAATATTGCAAATGTGGCAAAATTTTTCACCTAGATGAAAACAATAAAAATCAATGCCTTATTTCCATTTTTTTGCAGATTTTAATGAGCCCAGATAATACAGTGTAAGAGTCGCTTTTTAAATAAAAAAAATTGGCCCACAAACACTTTTCATTCTTACAAAACTAAAGCTTTTCATTATCATTATTCCAATTATTTTATTTATGCTATCATTATTATTTAATCATTGTTATTCACATTATTTCAAAAGATGGCATTAAAAGTTTCAAGTCAATATTTTTGTACAAATTGGTGACAATGATAGATTGCATTAAACTACTAAAAAACTAAACAGTTTTTTATAGCATAATAGAGTTTCAAAAAAACATATAAAACATAACATAAAAACATAAACTTTTAAAAAAACATATTTTTAGTTATTTTAACATTAAAAATGAAAAAGAAGGTTCTTGGTGTAAATTTTTACATAAGTGAGCATATTTATTATAATCTCTTAAAAGATAAGAGTTTTTATATGAGAAAAAAAAAGGCAAATTTTAGAAATATTCTTCTTCTATTTTCGGAACAGTGAGTAGCTTCCTAAAATACTAATTACAATATGAGGGCTTTGTGGTATTGCTTTTATGATGTTTTGTTACTTTTATCTTTGCTGCACTGCTACAATTACTTTAAAGTTTTAGTTTCTCTTTCATAAGTTTTCACCTGCCCTTTTCTGCCCTTAAATAATTTAGCCAAAATTAAAAAAAAAGAAATAGCAAGTATAGCCCTACTTATTTTGTGATGGTGGTAACAACCAATAAGAGTTGAGTATGCTTTGGGGGCTTGGTTAGAGGAGGTGAGAGAAAAGGGAAGGACACATGGTTTTGGAGAGCTGAGGTTAAGACACAAAAAATATGAGGATCCTCAACAGCTAAGTTATGTTATAAAATTTTCTATCACCCCTTAATTATTTTTTTATTTATTTTATATATTAGCAGTGCAGCTTCATAATGTATAATTTCATGTTAATTTTTTTTATGTACCTATTATTAATTGGAGTGAATGCCTTCCTGGAACAAAATTTGTAACTCTAAATATCTTAAATGATCTATATTAAATAAATAGTTTTAACACCTTGCAATTAGTGATCATTCTAATGATCTTGTTCTCTTACTTAAGAGTATATTATTTTAAATTGTTATTCATTTTTATTCTTATCTTAATGTGTGTGGTGATGAACTGAACATCACCACAGCTTTCACTTAATACAAAAAGCTTTTTAAAACACAAAATTCTTAAATGAAATTTTTAAATTTTTCCGGATATTTTTGTAAAACAAACAAGAGTGTTTTTTACACAATTTAAAAAAATCTAATTTCTGTGATTCGATTCCCTATGATTCGAAAATGATTTCGTACGCCGCGTCTATAGTATAGATACTATAGTCAGCCTTAAGTATTAGAAAATAGCATCACCCAAAATCATATTTGTCTCTGAATCTACCTATAATGGACACAAATATTGGAGAACTTTTTTTTAAAATGTTGCTTTTAGTGAATTGATATAATTTAATATATACTTCTCCCATACCTCCAAAATACCTGTAATGTGTCATCTATTGGCACACATGTTACAGTTTCGTCATCTCTCTAGTTTTTAGTCAATTTTATAATTCTTTGCAAAAGTCACATTCAAATATAGTATGTGTCTTGTTGCCTTAGGGGCTAGTTGTTTTAACGTTTGTAATTTAACTAAATAGCCAGCTGTTAACTTCAAAAAAAAATTTTTTGTTTTTTTATTTTAAATTTTTTAAGGTTTTTGTTTTAGATGTTAACAACAAAAATGTCAGAATGCAATTAGAAAAATATACCTAAGAAACAAACGTGTGCATTAATTTATCTATTAGTAAGAAATTTCTGCAGCATGGCAGAAATTTTGGTAGCTATAAACTCTATGTTTCAATAAAAATGAATTTGAAAGGTCAGGAAATTCATTAACAAGTTTTTCACTCAATTTCAAAAACATTTTGGACCATTAAACACAGCATTTTATATCAGAAAAAAAAAATTTTTTTTCTTTGAAAAATTTAATATATGAATCCAAGAAACAGTTTGAAACAAGCTATTGTAATATGAATTCTTTTTGCAGAAATATAAATTTGATTTTGATTTAAAATAAGATAGTTTCGACCACATTGCAGCAAAATGTTTCTTAAAAATATTTATTACAAATCTTAGAATTATTAGCATCAATAATTGATTGTATAATAATTATTATTCATTAATTCTTAGAGTGGCTATCTCCCCCAGTCTTGTTACAATATTTTTCAGGTATTTGGAAATAAAAAAAAGCATTATCTGGGTAATACTTTTTTTTAAACAAAATCTTTGTTAATTCTAGGTGGCTAAAAACCTTTTTAGAGTTTCAGCCCTTTTCTTTATAATTTAATATATTTTATACCCATTACATAGTTAAAAATAAAAGTTATTAAAAAAGGAATTATTAGCTCGAGAGAAGCTAATTTTAAATTTGCGTTAATAATTACCTTGAATTTAGTTTTTATGTGTTATTATATTAGTTTCAATTTGAATAACACGCATTCAATTATTTTTTTAAAGCAATTATACACTGAATTTTAGTAGTACTTAACAAATGTTGAATAATTTTATTTACATACATATATTTACATATTGTACATACGTGCATTATTACAATGTCAGTCATATAGAAAAAATTCTTAATTACTTAACAGTAAAAATCTTTTCTCAATTTAGAATTTAAAAACATAACGTTTCAAAAATGTGACTGCGATTCAAAAACAAGTTCACTTAACAAAGCATAATGAATATTAGAATGAACAAGAAAACAGACACTATTTTCCTGTCATTAAATTACAACATTTCTAGACTTTTTTTCACAATACCTAAATTTAATTTAATAGTAAAATATATATATTTGAGAAAGCATAAGAAATTGTAAAAAACTGACTTGCCTTCATTTTTTCAATATCATCTCTCTCCCCATAAAAGGTTGCAGATCGTTTCTGTTTGAATGGTTTCTTATTAGATGAAGAGACAGGTTCCTCATCTTCTGAGTGATCATCTCCTTTCTCTGCATAAATATAATTAATGACAAAGATTTAACCTTTCTTTTTTTTCAACATTTAAAGCGGAAATCAAATCGTATAGGATTGATGAGATTTTTATTCTGGACATGGCTCAAAATGCTTGCTTAAGAGACTAGATAATTGATTACATTTTTTAAACTTCTCTTATGAACATTGTTCTTTTTTAAAAGGTGAAACTAATGGATTCCAATAAGCTTGCAATAGGATGTCATGCATTTTCCTAAATCACTTTTTAAAATTCAACCTTTTTTTCGCATAATTGCATATTTTTTTTAGTTTTTTAAAACAATTTTTAAAGTCAGTAGTTGTCTTCACATGGTTACCACAGTTCCTATACATTTATAAGAGTGGTATAAGACTTACGAATTTAGATTTTTAAAAATCACTTTAACATTTTAAGAGTCCTGAATATGAAGAGATCGCCTGAAAAGTTTCATCTATACACCGAACCACCCCAATCCTGAAATCCGGGATTTAGTCTCGTAAAAATTATATTTAATGTTTTTAAAGAAAGTGAGGAATAGTAAGTACGAAATTCCTCTTTTGAGTAGAACATTAAAAAGGCACATTTTGAGATATGTTTATTTTCTTAAGCATGCCATTTGGAAGTGTAGAGAATAAAAAGCTATACTGTATTGAGTAGCAAGAAAAGTAAGTAATGAGCAACAAAACAAAAATTGTAACTAGTGTTTAAATAAATAAAATAAGTGTCATATAATGAGAATAAAGAAAATTAGAAAGAATAACCAGATATGATGATATAGAAAAATTCCTTTCCAAAAAATTTATTTGCTTGAAGTAGTGACAGATTAAGAAATTTTTACAAAACTGGAATATTTGTGAATATACAAAGGAGTTGAAAAGTATGGAAACGGTTCAATATTTTGGATAATACAGATTAGATCAAAAATTTAAAGTTACAAGTAAAATGTAGAATAAAAATTGATTAATGGTTTCCTGCGGGACTGCGCCAATATGATCGATGTGGTTACCATTATTCAGAGTTATCTATATATTGATTATTCCATAAATAAAATTCACAAACAGTAGGTTTAATCTACCAAAATACTCATAAAATTTTTTTTAAAAAAACAGCAAATTTAATTTTCAAAAATACTGGTCCAATACGGATTATTTTTATTTTACACGTCATTAGTTCACGTTTTTCACAGTCTATGTAGTGAACTTCAATCTAAGGAATTTCTCTTTGCCGTTGTCACTCATATTTCTATTCTTTCTTTATCACAGTTGTCTTTCAGACACTTTAACCAGAGTCTAGAAATCAAACAAAGGAAAAGTGAAATTTCACAAATTATTGCACTACTTTCACGAATACAGGAGTAACTTTCTTGAAAAGCATGAGATGAAAGTGGCCCAATGATGCATCAAGAATTCATTTTATTTGTAATAGGCCGAAATTAACTGTCAAGTAATTTCTATGATTAACTTCTGTATAAAAATGAATGGAATGTGAAGGAAAAGCATATTTAGCTATGATCATTTAAAACTATTGTAAGCTAGAGATGAAAAATAGTTGACTGGAACAAAGTCGTGGCTATATTCAGAAATCCCTGTTTAGAGGTTCACCTAATGTATATACTACGGAAGACGTTTAGTTCCAAACACTTATGGCAGTTCTTTGGAGGTTGTAATTGTTTAGAGGTGAAGGAGGTATAACAGTATTTTCAAAAGACTTTTAACCTCACCACATGTGGAAGAACAATTTAAAAATCCTAATTTGACCTCCATAGCCTTTTAAAACACAGATGGTTTTGTAATTGACAAAAATAAATTCAGAGTGCAAATTGTTTAAAAATTTGGAATATTCAATAAAAAGTAGTTATTAAATGCACATGGAGTGCATTAACAACCAAAAATTGGCAATTGTCCTACAATTTTGTAATCATAATTTGTTATACTCAATCGTCCCGTGGTTGGTGGTAACCATTAATTTCACCTTATGAAAAATAACAGATTATAGTTCAATTATTGTTCTTGAAAATGGCATAAAAAAGATGAGTCATTAATCATACCCGTGTCTCTTCCTGGGAAAAAGAACTTCAACATAGCCTTGTAGAGTGCTTCAGTGAGTCCAATGGTTATAGGTACAAGGTTCACTTCCAGATGTTCTTTAATTGAAATTCCTCCCACTGGAGCCTTCTCACGGCAATATATTCTTAACAGGCACTGGCGGTCTAGAGGAATCTTTGACTGCATTTCTGTTGGTTGCAATACAACCTAAAAGTTTTTCTATTCATTATAATTAATAGATCAGTAAATTACAATAGCTATTTAGGAGAAATCTATGTGAAAAGAAAATGAAATGCTTTTCATTATTGAGAATTAGAAGTGCGCATTGCATCTCATTGGTGGAAATTCCTAGATTCATTAATTTCTTTTAAAGAGTTCAACTTAAAAAATAAAATACCTCCAAGTTAAATAAAACTGAACAAAAATATTTGCATAATTGTAATTGGCATAACATTTAATACAAAAATAAGGTCAAAAGGCTAATAGTTAATAGATTTTGATTATGAAAATTAATAGATACATAAACTAATCTTTAATGCATGAATATTTAATATTAACTCAGTTGTTTTGAGAAAGTAAAACTTTAAAATCATAATTAGGAAACTTAAGAAAATATATATCTATTTATATTATATAGAGATATTGCTTTTATCCATTTATTGAAGAATAAGACAAATATTTTACTAAAATTTATAAAGTAATTTAATCATGTACAAGAAACTGACAATTTGAACCATGGCATAGGGGACGGCAAAAGCCCGAAGTCTGGTATATTCTGCTTTTTAGTAGTTGAACCTAGGATTTACCAAAGTGGATGGGTAAAAATAAGTATCTTTTAATATGATTCCATTTTGGAATTTAACCAAACTTTTGTGGTAATACCTAAAAGATATTACGTTCTCATAAAAGCCCAAACTGATGGATTACTTATGATAGAATTTCGACGAGACCCAGTCCGTCACAGCATCCTTGAGTACGTCCTCCGAGTTAAATGCGCTTCCCTTTCAGGTGTTTCTTCAGTGAACCAAACACATGGAAATCGCAGGGCGACATGTCCGGACTGTAGGGTGGAAGGTCCAACGACTCCCATTTGAACTTAGCGAGCTCCATGTGTGTGACACTGGAGACGTGTGGACGCGCCTTATCATGGAGCAGAACCACACCCTCCGTGAGCAGCCCTGGTCTTTTGTTCTTGATGGACCTGCGTAGGCGTCGGAGTATCTCACAGTACACATAGGAATTAATGGTTTTTCTGTGCTCGAGTTTCTATTCCTCATACGGACTGCCGCATAATTTGGACGCCGCTTTTGATAAGAGCCTCTGCTCTCTCCTGCGCATGCGGGCTCCCGCACATGCTCCGATCCCAGTCAGAGACTTCAATCGCTTCTCGAGATGTCTTGCTACGTTCTCCCATGGCGGAATATGCAAATATTTAACTGTTACGTTTTTACGGCGTTTCGTACCTTTTCATTTGATCACTCCTTGCATTAAAAAAATAAACAGCCGTACTTATTGATTGAGTGATTGATTTGGCAAAAACAATTTAACCATTGTCAACTGCCCACTTTTAAGGAAAAGCACAGTACACTGAATATAGTGTGTCTCAAAAAGGTTAAAACACACTTTAATGTTTTTAATTGCAAATATAGACAAAAGAAGTGATCAAAATAAGGTGTTATTTAAGATTATGTCGATGGAACTGTCTTTGCAATTATTTCTCAAAGAGTTATAAGAAATTTTAAAAAAACAATCCAGTATTTATGCCACTTCATAATTATGACCCCATGTGATAAAGCAGAACTAATGCAAAATTCTCTCGATAACTAGCGAAGAGAGTTCGATAACTTTTAAAACTAATTGTGGCAATAGTTAAAAAAATCCTGTGTTTTGGGCTTTTACTGGAAGGTATTGATAACTCATAAGTTTTACCGCAAAGGTTTTGCGAGCCGCTTTGGTAAATCGTAAGTTGTACTCTCAATACCTAAGAAACCAAAGTTTACTAAACATCTGGCTTTTAAAGTAAGACATACATAATCTTGGTGTCTGCTGCTGAAGCTAGAACTAACTGTTTTATTGGAATTAATGAGACATGAATTATTTTATCAATAATTTATAAAAAATAATTTAGGAGATGGGCAAGAGGAAAAAAGACAAGAAACAGGACTGAAAAATGGCAGGAGACACTGGTGGATGACATATGATTAATTTTGATAACAAATAACAAACTTTAATAGTTGAAGTTGAATAAAATTAGTATACAATTATAAAACAAGATAATGATGAAATGATGAGTGACTATTTACACTAAAAAATACTCTATACAAGATGATAAATTACTATACAAGAATGATGTTAACCTACGTACAAGACAAGGATAAAAAATCAAATGCTTTAAAAAATTAAGTGAAGAGGATCAATCTCTCTCATGGTTAAACTATTAAAACCATTTTACACCTTTTTAAAAGAGCATAAAAATCTTTTAGATATTAGATTTAAAGAAAAACCACATTTAAAAAATGCATCCTATATACAAGGAAAAATATTATACATGTGTATTTTAACATTACAAAAGATACAAATTATTTAAAATCTTTTTATTATCCTACATTTAAAAAATAGTTTTCCAAATTATATATTTTTTTTAGGTTAGTGGAGAAGTGGATAGATTTTAATTATTTATTGACTTATATAAACTTAAGTAAAATTAAAAAAGAATTACTGATCAAAATTAATAAATATTTTTTTCAAAAAGAGAATTGTTTTATTTTTAACTGAAGAATGAATATGTTTCTGAAGAAAGGGAGTTTGTAAAAATAAAAGTTTGTGTAACAGTTACTGCAAATTGCAGTGAATTGTGTATGTATTGGTGAAGATTACAGAGTACCTATTAAGCGAATGCTTAAAAAACTATATTTTGGAGTGAATTAGAAATGGTTTTTACCTTGTATGTTTGATTGGGTAGGAGATTAGACATCTTTACATAGCCAAGTTCTAAAAGATGCTCAACCGAATCATCTGTCTTTGCAACTTTGGAATACCTGAAACATGATAAGCACAGTTTTTTTAATAAGAAAATGATACTAACTAAATAAAATAAGCAAAAAAAAATAATCATAGCTAAAAAATAAAAAACCAAAATTCTATAATATCTGATATATATAACCATAATAATTAATCATAATTTATAAATATAAAACCATAAAAGGTGAATAAATAGAAAAATACATTGTAAATAAATGGAAAGTATGTATTCCTTAAAAAATATTATGTCTCATATTATACTATAATACAAGGTTCCTAGTCTTTTTACAAAGCAAAAATTTACGGCATGTTAAAAAAAAATTAAGGACTCTTTTGAAAAATTAAGAACCATAAAAATAGTAAGATTGTTCATCGTACATATACTACCTGTGGCAGTGCTGATTATTTACCTTTTAAAAAAAGAAAAAATCAAGAAATAAAAAAATAATAATAAAAACAAAAACATTTTTATTATAATGTAAGTACTGATTGTATTAATTAACAGGGCTTGAAAAACAGGGTCAGGACCCGACAATTCTTGCAAATCTGGGTCAGTTTTTTAAAAAATATTTTCAGATTGTCAAAGGCCAACGACATTTATGAAGCTAATCTGTATTCCATTTTTAATTATTTCATTGAAATTGAATTACAAAATTAAATGCAGAAATTAAGATTTGCAATTTTTTTTCATATATTTAAAAAAAATTCACATATTTCAAATACTCTTATACTTTTTCATATATTTAAAAAAAAAGAGTAAATAAAGAGATTTGGGAAAAACATTGAAAAAATTATCACAAATTTTTATATTTTGCTACTAGATATGCATCACATATTCAGTTGTGAGCCAATCTTGCTAAATATTCAACTACGCTAAAAAAAATCTTTTTTTTCTTTCTATTAATAAAATATTTTATTTATAAGGGTATATATTAAAAAAATGAATACTAAAAAGTTGTTTTAGAGTTATGCATGAGAGTAGTTTTTTAAACTATGTCATGTTAAGTCCTATTTCAAGTAAAACCAGGCCATACTAATATCTAAGCACCTGAAATCATTCCATTTTTTTTTCATTAGGCTTAATTTAATACTTTTTTTAAATTTATTGCAATAAATATTGGTATGAAAAAATTTAAAAGAATAAAAATATAATTATGTTTGAGAAGACTTATAATTTTCAAACCAATATGTTTTTTATTAGTTCTCAGGAAAACAACTAAATAAAAAGGTGTAAAACGATTTTTCAATGGTATCAATGCATTCTTATGACTAGAAAATTGATGAGGTTAAGAAATTGTTTTTTTTTTTCATCATTTACAGATAAATATTTCTTTATCATTCCTAATATTATTCTCTACAATTATTATGATTTGATATCTTATTTTTATCGCGAATTAACAACTTAAAACTGAAAGTGGCATTATTTTATTAAAATATCACCTGTAATATCACCTTATTAGGTAACGTTTTGCAAAAAAACATGGAAAAATTTTAAGAAAAACATATTGAAAATGGTATGTAACTTAACCATTTTGATATAATTATTAAACAGCAAATGTGTTATATATACTTAATTAACTTTACATAATATTATTAAACAATCTGGCGAAAAACATAAACTAATTTTAAAGCAACCGAAAGTTAAATAGAAATTTTTAAAAAAATGAAAAAAGAAATAGTATATTGAGTTGCAATGTTAACTGAATAAAATTATTATTGGGTAAACTATATTTGAGGGTGTCCCTTGATTCTTGCCAAGTTGTGATCGCCTAGCTTGGCGATGTTGAAACCCAATTGTGATTCTGATTGGTTTAGATTTTAGCGTTATTTTTAAATGTTCAACGGTATATGGAATTTCAGAGGTCCGTTAGTTCTACGTTGGATACCGGCTGGTAAGGTTACTTTTGAATCTGGTATGTGGGCAGTCATAAAAAGGGATTTAAGAAAAAAATGTCACCGCTAGTCCGGTNAGAGGTCCGTTAGTTCTACGTTGGATACCGGCTGGTAAGGTTACTTTTAAATCTGGTCAATCTGGTATGTGGGCAGTCATAAAAAGGGATAGAAAAAAATGTCACCGCTAGTCCGGTATTATGGACGCCATTTTCGATTCGTATTTCGTTGAATTTATTCATTTTACTTATATTGGGTTAATTTTAAGTTTTGGCCGATGATTTGCTTAAATTTTCCAACGTTTTATTGAAAAATCATTATGTTTTGGCCGCCATTCCTGTTACCAAGATGCTCCGCGCAACCAGGAATAGCGCTAAACATAAGTCGCCAATTTCGCCAAGGGGCACCCTCAAGTATATTTTTCCCTTATTATTAAATTTTATTCTAATAGACATTAATAACAAAAAGTTTGGGATCCTTTAATTGAGTAGATTAAAATTTTTATGTAACAATCTGCTTATCCAACGTAGAATTACGCCATTCTTATAATAATAATAAAAACAATCCTCCTAAACGTTTAATTTAGACATCAAACAAAATCAAAAGCGTAATAATAACAGTCCAGGGCAATTCTAGCTTTTAAACCAGGGAAACAAACATATTTATAGGAAAACAATAACTTTATGACTTATATCAATTTTATGCTCATAACCAATATAAAAATTAATGTGGGAAAATTGGATCCTACCATGTCATTTTCTGGCCAATAAAAATGTATTGACAATAATGGAAAACTGCGACACCATCATTAGATTTTTATCTACAGTAAGATATCAAAATGCAAACAAATAACAACAGGAAAACTTTCTCATTGTGTCATCCTAAGTTATCTGGTCATAATTTGCTTACATTTTAATATTTTTAAAACATTTTTTCAGCATTTGAAACTTTCATGGTTTATCTGAAATTACTTTTCTAAACTTATATCAATTTTACGTTACTTGTGAAGGTGAAAAAGCATTTGCCATGAAGGATTTCTGTTCTCTGAAAGTGGCTTTTTTTCTCCACAATATTAATAATATGTGTTAAAATAATAAACTTACAAAAAATTGCTGAGTATCAAGTCTGATATTCCCAGTTGACCATCAGCATCCGTCAACCTCCATTGAGCATGCTTGAAGCACACTTCTGATCTGCGAGAGGGAGAGACCCCTTTGTCATGGGAGGATGCCCTTTGGCGGGATCGGCTAGCAATGATCTGTGTCTCCTTGAAACAGCTGATCATCATTGTCAATTCTTCATTCATGGAGTTCAGTTGTTCTTTATGCTCATAGATCTAAAGAATTTCAAACATCCCTAATTAGAACCAACACACTTAATAATGTTAACAAATAGCAATCAGAATAACAAGCTGACAAAAAAAATTTTTTTTGAAGGTTTTAATTTTTCTATTAAAATTATTAAGATCCTCCCGCAACTTGGCAAGCACCCTAACTTTTAATTACCATGCTAGAAATGAGCTCCTACCCTTCCTTCCAAACTTTTGCTACACAAGAGAAAAGTATGCCATGACAGATTAAACATGCACTTTGCTGCATATGCACACACGTTACTTTGTCAGCAATCAGGATTGAACTCAAGAACCCCGGGCTCTCCAATGGTGTCAACTTAACTAACTGCATCATTCATTCAATAGATTTTGATAAAAATTTTCATTTTTCTCACTTAAATATTAATTTTAAATATAATTTAAATATAAATTTAAAAAGGATTCACTATATTTTATTTCTGATGAGGATTCTCAAAATACATATCAATATTAGTGATGCATAAATTATGAACAGTGAACACATTCATCATTCAAATACCTGATTGTCCAACATGTGCAGTTGATCTAAATAATCTCCTCTGTCAGGGTTCTCCAAATATTGTTTATGCTTGACGTATGCTTCCTTTTCTAATCTTCTCGAATTAGACAGCAAAGATCTGTAGGAGGACAAAGAAAGTGAATAAGTATATATACATATATATATATATATATATATACATACAGTAGAGCGCCGATTATCCGAACTCTTATTATCCGAACGTCTAATTATCCGAACTGTGTCTGAATTAGTTTTTTTTTAAAGTTTAGAATACTTTTTAACCTATCGACAATTTTTCTAAATTGAGAAGAATAAATAATACCCCCTACATCTGAAGACCATATTTAATTTACAACCTTTTTAGCAGTTTTCTTATAGTAGCCATACATACATGTACTGTGATACAGTTAAACCTACATACCCCTTTAGCCCTTTACAACAGAAAATTATCTTCCAAGAATGCAAGCTCCATTTTGATAGTCTACAATGGTTGGAATGCAGAAGGAGTTTATGAATTGATAAGTTCTGAAGTTCTATAATTGGGGAATGGGTAGTTGCAACTTATGGTTAATAATTAGTGATTACAGTGCTTGGAATCTTAAATCTTGGAATAAAATTCTTAACAGAAAAACAAACGAAACTGAAGTTTCAGAACCAGTAGATCTTTCGGATGAAAATGATGAAATTGTTGTTGAAATTTTGAATGATAATCGGAACTCTACAGACGAAGTGAAAGAAGTAGGTGATCAAGTTCAAGACAGTGGACCTTCTCATATAGAAGCATGCAATCCATTAGATTTCGCAATGAATTGGCTAGAACGTCAAAATGATGTTGATCCAGTTCAGTTGATTTATTTAAAAAGAATAAGGGATAAATGGCTGCTAAAAAAAACGATAAGTGATAAATGGCTGCTAAAAAAACGCATCTTCTTTGAAACGAGATCTTCGCTGGATTTCTTTTGCAATGGAAAATAATAAAAAATGTTTTAAAATCAGTAATTGAAAAAAAGTATTAAAAAACTGAAATATGATAAAAATAATTCAAAATGAAAAAAAAAAGTTTAAAAAAAATTTATTTAAAAATATTTAAAAATTGAAAAAGGAAAAAAAATTTAAACACGCCAGAGCTATTTTAGATAGTACTGCCAGTCCTAAGCCTACAAAAGGTGCGAAGGGAAGTTAATGCATAAATAATAATCATTTACACTAGATTTTAAACAACTTTCCAATTATCCGAACTTTTCATTATCCGAACCATGTTCGGTCCCGAGCAGTTCGGATAATCGGCGCTCTACTGTGTGTATATATATATATATATTCTTTGGTGTTCATCATGGCATAAGGAAGTTTTAGTTTTACATATCATTATTTCAGTACAGTATGGATAAATAACTGATTTTTAAAAAACAATTGCAAAAGAAAATTCATAAAATTATAACTTGATGAATCAATTTGAAATTTTAACTTAAGATTTTTTGCTATTACTATTAATAGGTAGAAATACTTTCTTATTCCTTTCAAAGTAGACAGAAAAATGTATTTAATATTTTACAGAAAAATATATATAAACACTTTTTAAGAATTGGTTTTTCACTTATTTAATTCTTTATTTTTTAATTATAATATCAGTCTCCTATATTTATATAAAACTTAAATAAGAAAAATATTTTCATAAAACACTAAAATTGTGAGTCATCAGTGACTGACTGAGTGAAATAAGATATAAAACTAAAAAATTTACATTGTATTAAATAATTTGATGAAAGTTTATTTAATTTTGATTGATTGTAAATCAAATTTCTATTTATTTCAATCTGTTAGTAACGGGGACATGCTTAGGGGTGGGTGAACTGGCCAATCGCACAGGGCCGCCAAAAATTCAAGATTGATTAGTAGTGATTAGATCTGATTTTCTTTACATTTGCTAAATCTTTAACAGATTTTTAATATTCCATGAATATGAATTCATACGAGTTATTATAATTTTATTTCATTTTTTCAAAATCATAATTTGTTATAAATCATAGTTCATTTTTATAAAATGATAGATTTATCTAAAATATATTATTTGTACAGTACTCTATTATCTAAAGGTTTTGACAATAAACCATTGATATCAAATCTCATTGATAATAAATGTTTTGCTCATAGAATCAAGGAATAAGTGAATAAACAAAGAAACGAAATATTACATTTTTTTCAACAGCTTAGTTGTACTTGTAGATAAGAATATAACTTTTAAATTATAATTATTCATTTCATATCACCTTCCTATTTAAATTTACTCAGAGTATGTAAAATAATTTGCTGTTTTATTATCAAGTATTTCAATGATAACAATTTGATTTTCCATACATTTATTTCAATGCAAGTAATTTTAAAACTTATTAAATATATAATTAGGATATCTACTTAAAAATAAAGAATTAAGTCTTGCTTTGCCAAGAACAAAGTTTATTTTTGAAAATGTTTTCTGACCGAAATTAATTTACTTTTCTTTTCGCAAGTTGGTTCTCTGTCTTTGTAATTCATTAATGCTTTAAGTTTGATAAAAAAATAACTGATTTAAATTATTCAGTGATTAGTTTGTAATAATTAAATAAAAATATTAACCTTTTATTACTCATAGTGTTAAGAATTTTAGTCACAGTATTATCCAGGGATGCAAGTATCCAGGGATGCAAGAATCCAGGGATGCAAGAGGCGGTCAAAAATGTAAAAAGTGGTAGAAACTAAATTCACTTTTATTTAACTATTATCTATTTAATTATTCAATTGTAACTACCACTATGACTCACATTTCAAATTATTCATATTTAAAACAAAAATATCCTTTGCTCTCACTTTCAATAGTGAACTGAACGAAATATGATATAAAAAGATATATAATTTTAATTTTTTCCAAGAAAATTTTAAATTTTTGTAGTGTAGTCAACACTTTTTTTTTCTAAGTCATCCGTGGCAAAAATGTAAATTATTAGTTAAGTGTGATTGATACATTTTGTCAAAGTTTCGATCATTAAACGCGAAAAAAGTTTTTAAAAAAAATTGTGATTGAAAAAAATGTTTAATATATACTTTTGTTATACAAAACATGATTCCTATTAACATGATAAAATGCTTTAATGTTTTGCCCAGGTCCTTTAAGACCTTAACCCCTGGTGTGCTTCACACTCGGCCTGATGGCCATTAACTTTAAAATATGTTAATTAAAAATTTGAATGCTGAATTTAAGGGTTGAGGAGATTTTTTACAGAATATTAGAAAAACCGTTCTTTTTTATTCAGCTTTTACACAAAAGGTGCCTTACTACCTTAAAATATTATAACTATTCTATGCATTATTATTCTATTAACTATATAATACTCGAATGTTCATAAGCAAAAAAGTTTATTAGATATTATTTTAAATCTTTGCAGAATTGTATTGACTATGTCCAGAAAATTTAAAAAGTGTCTTATTGAAGCTACTTTTTTCAAGCTAGCAAAACTCATTACTTGAAGGAATCTTCACTGATTGACTTCGAATTTAAACTGTATTGTTAAAATTACTTTTTTTACTGAAGAGTGAAATGTTAATTTCCTTTTATTGCTTAGTTTTTATTGCAAATAATTTTCTGACTTTTGCTTGGTAAAGGTTTTTGAATTTTAATATAAAAACCTGCTTTCTGTGCCAAAATCAGTATATCAAAGAAGCTTTGTGTTTTTTGCAACTATTTAATTGGATAATTAAAAAAATTTTTTTTTTCATCTTAACTTAAAAATTACAAGTGCAGAAATTGTAATTGAATAACTTTCATAAAGAAAATTTACATCAAATAAGAGCTGCACAGCCTTTTGTTTTACCATATATTATTTTGTTTTGTTTATGATGAAAGAGTTTTTCAAATATTTGTCTAGCTGAAAACAAATCCAAAATCAGCCACTAGAATGACTCATCCTATCAAAATGCATGTAAAGAAAAAGATACTTTTTTTTTGTTTTTATGAGAGAAAGATAAATTTTTTTACAAAAAAAAATGTATTGTGTAAAAACTGCAAGTAAATTTTATAATATTTCAAAGATGAAGGAAATTTTGTTACAATGCAGATTAATCCCTGCAATTACAATTGCAAGGAATTACAGAAATTTTTTTCTATAAGGCTGCAAAAGGATCTACAGAAAAACAATTAGTAATGCTATAGTACAACTTAAACATTCTATCCATATTTCACGAGTTAACGCTTTTTCAGAGCAATAAGCCTATACACATGTTTATTCAAAGTATGAAAAAAATGGCTAAAACAAAATCACCATTTAAATTAGTATGTCTGTATGTCACTGAAAATAAGGGCATATAACATAACAATAATAAAGGCATATTCACAAATAGAGATAAAAGGTATTAAAAAATAGAGACTACCTGGAACAAAATAATGAATATGACTTTTCAAACATCTTTCTAAAACTGTGATTCTATAGTTGGAACTAAAATTTGTAATAGTATAATCTCACAAATCGGGACTATTCTGGAGTTCGGAAAGTTCGGATTTTGAAATATTCTGAATTTTAGATATTTTACTTCAACTTATAGATGAGTCAAAGTTATAGGCCCAATTTTTGAAATTTTTTTTGTAAAAAAGAAGAGGAATTCCATCATAAACCTGCATGGTCTTTTGCAAATTTTTCGGCAGTTATTTTAAAAATTTTCCAATAGTTTTTGAAATCTCAATATATAATTAGGGTGACCAGACGTCCCTGATTAATATCTTGGGTTACATAAACTGCCAATATTAGCTAATTTCCACTAAAAACAACAATTACTACATTTCCGTTTTATTTTAGAAAAATAACTAAAACATTTTATAATCAGGTAAACATTTTATAAATATCTAATCAATAAAGTATAAAACCATTTTTTATGAAATTGTTATTATCACTTACGACTAATTAATTTTTATAAATTCTAATTATTCTACATTTTGAAAACCTCATAATTTGTTATCGTAAAAGATATTTAGAAAAATATTTTTATTTCTTTAAAATAGATGTCAATATGGCAACAGAAACAAAAAAAAAAGAAAATGCCATTATTTGGATGATTGGAAAAACGAGTTTCCATTTATTGAACCGAATCCTGATAATTCTTCCAAAGTAAAATGTACAATGTGTGGAGCAACGTTTTCAGTTGGAAGTGGAGGACGAACAGCTATAGCAGATCACATTCTTACAATTAAACACAAAGAAGCTTTGGCAGCAAAAGCAAAAACGAAATCCGTCAAACAGTTTTGTCGTAAGCTGGATCCATCCAAAGAAGAGTTTGACTTAGCAACATATGAAGGAACGCTTGCATTTCACACCATTCGTCACAACCAATCGCTTCGCAGCATGGACTGTACTTCAAATTTACAGAAGAAATTTGTAGACAAGAAATTTTCTTGTGCCCAAACAAAATGCGAAGCTATCGCTGTCAATGTTTTTTCTCCGTGGGCATTTCTTGAATTGAAGAAAGATTTACAGTCTGTACAATTTGTAACAATATCTTACGATATTTCCAATCACAATCACGTAAAATTACTTCCTATTTTAGTGCGGTATTTTCAGTGGGACTGTGCTAAAGATGCAATTAATAATAAACTTGTATCACTAAACGAAATTAAAGGAGAAACTGCAAAGATTTTATCTTCAGAAATATTAAACGCACTATTCGAGTTCCAATTGAAGGACAAAATGGCTGGTTTGTCTGCGGATAATACTAACACTAATTTTGGAGGATTGTTAAGAAGAGGAACAGAAAATGTTCATACTAAACTTCAAACTGAGTTAGGAAGAGATATTTTTGGTTTTCGGTGTAATGCGCATATTATACATAATGGCGCTAAAACTGCTTTTGATTGTTTGCCTGTAGATATTGAAGTTATGGTATCTAAACTTTTTAGTTGTTTTAAAATTTACACAGTCCGAATTGAAAGACTGAAAGAATTTTGCTAGTATGCTGACTAAGAATATCATCAAATTTTAGGACACATTCATGTTAGGTGGTTGACATTACTTCCTGCTGTAGAAAGAATTCTTAAAATTTATTCATCTCTTAAAAAATTTATGTTGTCTGAAAAAAAGTGCCCAAAAATCTTGAAGAATTATTTTGAGAGTGAAACAACCGAGTTATGATTGTTTTTTGCGCATTCGCATGCTGCAATTTTTAATCAAAGCATCTTGAAAATTGAAGGCGATGACAAATTTGTTATTGAATCTGGAGCTGTTGTCAAGGATTTGATATTTAAATTGAAAGCACGAAAGAATGCCAAATTTGTTCGACTTGTTGTAAAACCTGAATTGACTAAATTGATTGCTGAGAATATCATTACTGAAGATTCTTATTAGGAAACGTCGAAAGAATTCTATGAAGCTGCGATTTCATATTTAGAAGCTTGGAACGATAACAACGATTATATGTCTGATTTGAAGTGCCTTCTTTTAGATTGTAAGCCTTTACGGTCTGAATTCGACGAGGCAGTTCTGTCTCTCTTCAAAATGTGCAATTTTGAATGTTAATTCTGACGATTTATTTGACGAGTTTACTTATCTTGAAGGTTATTTGGATTCAAAAGATGATAAATGGTACCAATCCGTACACATAACAGACAAATGGCGCGAAATAAACAATTATTTTCAAAAAAACGATATACCATTTACAAATATCAAAAGAATTGTTGAGCTTGCAATGTGCTGGCCAAGCAGCAATGCGCCTGTAGAACGGGTATTTTTGGGCATAAATAACTATTGGACTAAAGAAAAATCGCGAATGGATGTGAATACAGTGAAAGCGGTTTTATCTGCACTGATTAATTTTGATTTTTCATGTGACATATTATCTCAATTACTCGAAAAAAATCCTGAAATTTTAAAGAAGATTCATTCTTCAGAAAAATATGGTGTTTAGAAATAGTATAATTTTAAAAGCAATACAATTGTTTTGTTAACAGATTTTAAAATTGTGTAAAAATGTTATGATCACGATTTTAACGATATAATTTATATACTAAATTATAAAAAAAATGTAAACGAAAAAAAAA